GCCATCTCTCCGGCCCCCAGTGAATATTTCTAAATAGAAAATTATATGCTGACAGACAAAAAGCAGTTTATAGCCCAAGGAACTATGAGAAAAGGCATTTAATACTGAAGAGTTCTATTGGAATAATTGCAGAGATCTTGTATTTAACTTGGCAGGTTATAAGGAATAATAAAATTGTTTTCTTTTAAATTTATTTTTGTGATGTTAGGCATAAACTCTCCACTGAGCCCTGATCCATATTCTCTTCATTTTCTTTTGTATTTTTTCTTCTAAAGATTTATTCTGGGTTAGAGAGATGGCTCAGTGCTGAAGAGCATATACTGCTCTTTCAGAGTACCTAAGTATGATCCCCAGCATGTGACTCCAGCTTCAGGGGATCCAGTGCCCTCTTCTGGCCTCTTTGGGCACCTGTACATATGTGACATACACTCACACAGACACAGATAATCCTTTTAAAAAGTCTTGCATGTCTTACAGGAGCCAGGCATGGTGGTGCAGGGCTTTAATCCCAGCATTCAGGAGTCAGAGGCAGGTGGATCTCTGTGAGTTCAAAGCCAGCCTGGTGTACATAGGGAGTTCTAGGCCAGCTGGGGCTCCAGAGAGACCCAGCCTAAAAAAAATAAAAAAATCTTACATGTATTAACTGTCATCATCATCATCAAGCCTTCACCAAGTTAGATACTTCTCTAAGCACACTACATACATTAATTCATTTAATAATTATGACAATGTGGAGAAATTTTGAAAGATACCTGAAATTGGAGAGTCTGATTTTGAACTTTTTTTTTTTTTTTTTTTGAGACAGGGTCTCCCTGTAGCCTCAGCTGGCCTGGAATTTGCTTTGTAGACCAGGCTGACCTTGAATTCACAGAAATCTGCCCACCTCTGCCCCCTGAGTGCTGGGATTAAAGGCGTGCATCACCACCCCCAGCAGATTTTGGACATCTTGCTCTTAAACTATTATACTATCCAACAGGAAAATGAAACGTTAAGACTATAAACAGTACATTGGAATTGACAATTAAAATGGTCATTGGCCTTTAATCTCAGTATATGGGAGGCAGAGGCACGCTGATCTCTGTGAGTTCAAGGCCAGTCTGGCTTAAATATCAAGTTCTGGGACTGAAGAGATAGCACAAAGGTTAAGAGCACTGGCTGTTTTTACAGAGGACCCAGATTCAGTTCAGGGGATCTGACACTCATGTAGGCAAAACACTCATACACATAAATAAAAATTTTAATTTTATGTGTATGAGTGTTTTGCCTGCATGTATTTAAGTGTACCTGTGTCATGCAATGTCCACTAAGGTCAGAAGAGAACGTTGGATCCCCTGGAACTGGAGTTACAGACAGCTGTTACCTGCCATGTGGGTGCTGGACCTGAACGTGGGTCCTCTGTAAAAGCAGCCAGTGCTATTAACCACTGAGCCATCTCTCCAGCCCCTCTTCCTGCCATTCCTTTTTAATCTTTGCCAGTTGCTCCTTATATCTATTTTGTGTTTGGGGAAGGGGGGTTGTTTTGAGACAGAGTCTCATGTAGCTCTAGAGTAGCCTGAACTTCTGATCCTCCTGTCTCCACATCTAAATGCTTGGATTATAGATATGAGCCATTATGCCCCATTATGTTAGGTAAGCATTGCCAGCTGAGCTACAGTCCCAGCCCAAGAATGACCCTGAATTCTTGATCCTCTACCTTTCTGGCACAAGTGTGTATATCCTAGCAGTTGGGAAGCAGAGGCAGGAGGATGATCTTGGTGAATCTGAGGCCAGCCTGTTCTACATAGCAAGTTCCAGGACAGCAAGGAGCAACAATAAGGGAAAAAAAGTATTATTGCTTAGGTCAAAAATGCTTGGTGGGCCAGGGGATGGCTTAGCAAGTAAAGGCACTTGCTGCCCAGAAGTTTGAGACCAACCAAGACAATGAAGTAAGACTGATTTGGGTTGAGGAGGAAGAGGAAGGGGGAAGAGAGGACATGTAGTACTTAAATCCACATGAACAATTTTTTTTGACTATATTTCAAAATATATCCAGAATCTGATATCACTTGTCACTAACCTTTGTGGCTAACTCCCTGGCTCAACCTACCATCACTGCTGCTTCCTGACTATTCCAGAAACCTACTAATGACTCTGAAGTCTGTTTTCAAAATAGCAACCAATGTGATCTTTAAAAAAATGTCACTATAGCTGGGCATGGTGGCACATAACTTCAATCCCAACACCTGGGAGGCAGAGGCAGGCGGATCTTTGTGAGTTTGAGGCCAGCCT